TCTGGGGTCAACAACCCTTGGATGGTTATGCCAAATTTAACGAGGCTGTCAGCTTCTCATTTCAAAGGGGAGAAAAGGACAGGAAAGGATGAGCCAACAAACCTGTCATATCCCATTCCCCGACCACCAATCTGGAATGCATACATGACATATGTCACGTCATGTTATCGATGCTAAAAATTGAAATGCCTGATGCATCAGAAGAATTCCATCCCCTTCACCTTTTAATACTTATACTTTCTAGTCACTTTTGACCACTTATCCTTTTGGTACTTACACTTCAGACTCACTTTTTATCATTTGCACTTTGTAGACCACATATTTTACCAACTATAGTCTTATCTTTCTGTTCTTTTATTACTTGTGTCACTTCGCGGGTCCCATAACGTTCTGCAGTGGGTAATAGCCAAAATCTACCAAGTCCACTCATATGCAGTACTCGAGACTCGAACATGTGTTCCAATCAAAAAAGACAGCACTGCTTACCATTGAGCTACAACAGCTTATATTTAAGGTGCACATTGGTCACCTAAACCTGTGACTGCTATCATGAAGATCTAATCAGAATGGAAGGCTTGAAACTTCGACTCTCACCACCATCTTCACTCACCACCCCATGCTTGGCATGCCATGCCTGACCATCGAAGAACCCTCATTGGAGGTCATTGAGAGCTCCCAGCTCGAGGAAATAGAGGTGACATCATGTTCACATTAAATACTTACTATCGCTAATGAACATTTTTTCAGTTGGCAATGCCTTCGACACCCCTCAAAATGGTGCGCTCTCACTATGCTGAGACGTGGGTTGAATAGGCAGCTCTGGAGTTTTGGGACAAAGGTCTTCGGGAATTGTATGCTTCATTTCATAGTGACGAGTAATTCTGCTCTGGCATGTTGACATCTTCTTGCAGCCAGGAAAAGGGTATGCAAAGGCCTTCAGTGCTGATGCTCTGGCAGTCTTTGGGCAGGCCATTGTCGATGAAAGAGACAGAAAAGAAAGAAGAAAGATGACAACATTTTCTATTATCAATAAAGACAGTAAAGGGGACTTGATCATTGTGACTAGTGGCGATCATTGCAAAGGTGTTTGTTTGTACAAACATGAGTGGAGATCGACATAAATTTTCTTTCCTCTTCCTGCCACAGCTCACCTTCCACAGTGCACTTTCCACAGCTGGACGTCTTCCATGGCAGCTTCCAAGACTGGTCAGGTGAATCAAGGGCATGGTGGTGGAGGTCATGGTCGTGGTCGTGGTGGAATATCAGGGCCTGCATCCTTCAAAGGAAAGAAATCTGTTGACATGATCAATAGTAAGCACAACAAAATTTTTATTGTTATGATGATGACTCACCTGTGACTGCAGGCAAACCAACAGCTGAGCTCAAGCCCAAGGCTGCCGCTGGTGACGGAGAGGTCAACACAGCCTCTGAGGAAAAAAGCTCTGTTATCTCGACTGATAGTAAGCCCCACAATATCTTTTTTGATGCTAGGATGACTCACTTAAAACTGTAGGCAAGCCCACTGCCAACACCCTGCTGAAGGCTGCTGCTGGTGATGCAGAAGGGGCTGAGAAACCACGGTTCCATACCAACCGTGATTCTCATCCTGGTAAGCCAGATGTATCAAAGCCAAGACATTCCAGTGAAGAAGTAGCTGCTGAACATGAAGAGAAACAATGCCAAGCTGAGAAGGCAAAGGAGTGGTGACCTCCCTGATTCAAGGATCATCAACCTGTTCAAGCAAGTCTTTCCCTGGCATGGCGCTTTTGCAGATAGCGCCCAGGGAAAAAAAATTATTCTTAAGAAGGTACATAAATCATTTTTAATTACTCATGATTTCTACTCATATACAATAGGCTGATGATGCTTTGACGACATGGCACAACAAGATCGGCCAGATGACAATCACCTACATGGAGAACAACCTCATCTGGGAATTACCTGATATGTCACTGGAATATATCAGCACATGGTGCCACTGGGCTCTCGACGGTGATTTCAAGTCTCATCCTTTCTACTACAAGGAGTATCTGGATCCTGGTGCTGAGGGCAATGAGGGCAATGAGAAGCCACTTAAACTGGTCTGTGGTGCTCATTCTTCTATTTACTAAGCTGATGACATCTTTCTAGAACATATTTTGTCATAGTATCATTGCTTGCATGCTTGGATATCACCTCGGCTGCCTTCTTCCTATTCCCACTCATCTGAAATCAGCCCAACTGCCATCCGGAGCACTAATCACAGCCATTCAATCTGTGAGTGTGGTTGCTAAGCTTTTGGCAAGGGTTGACACTGATGACATGTTTTTCTAGGCTTATTGTGCAATCACCCACTGGAGCTCAGGCACCTACATCACACCTGGTTGCCCATTCTCTGATTTCTCAGGCGACAACTGGGGTGACAGCAACAAGTGTAATCCATCAGATTTTCCCGCTACACTTCCAAAATACACCGTCCAAGGGAAGAAGCCAATGAGGGAGATCAAGCGCATCATGCAAAAGCTGTCCCAGCAGCAGTGGGAGGATATTTTAGCTGAAGCTCATCAGTTTGCCAACACGAAGGGAAAGAAGAGGGCGAGGTCATCATCAGGGGATAACACCACTTTGGAAGCTGCTATTGTCAAGCTGGAAGAGGAATCGGATTTCGAGATTGAGGACGATGCCGCGGATGCTACTGGGAGTACTAACGAAGGATAAATTGTCCCTGTGTAGTAGATCCCACCAAATGGCATTCATTTTTAGTGATGTGCCAGCTCCGGCCTGAAGCCCCAGGCCGGGCCAAGCCAGGCCTGGAGGGTTGGCCTAAGTCGGCTTTGGGCCCGGCCCACAATTTTTGAAAGCCTGAGCCCTGGCTTTTATGCTTCAGAAATCCAACCTGAAATGCATTGAAGAGATGACATTTTTGGCTTTTTTAGCCAGATACCAGTGTCCCATCAATGGTTCCAATGAATTCAAACTCCACCTGAACAAGATCAACTGCTTTCAACACAGTATCTTCACTCTCCACCTGACATTCCAACACCACCCCTCCATCTCCTCCCTCCTCGTACTGCACAGTGCACTGCCCCTCCCTCATGCGAGGATATGACATACTGAAGGATCGCAGCTGGTGACAGGTATGTGGATTATGACACCATTCAATGCAGCTAGGGTTGCTGAAGTTCAGTTCAGAACTGACAGTTCGAACCTGAACTGGCTGAACTGAACTGCAGTTCGGATGCAGTTCTGGTTCTCAGTTCGGCCTATGGCCAGTCAGTTCGAACTGAACTGAACTGTTTGTTGGGTGTGGTTAAAATTATCAAATTTTGACCTTCAAAAGTGATTATTTTGGCATCAAAAAATTACCATTAGATTCCCATAATGTATAAAGAACTCCTTAGTACTAATCCCAAGCACTAGATGACATAAAACAATTTCTTAAAATGATTTTATTTATTGTGTGGGGACATGAGTTACATGGCACTACCCAATGCTTGAAAAATCAGCAAATAATATACTGTTTTGTACATATAGCAATGTCTAAGATAGAAGATAGACATATCTGTAGTCTATCTACTATTTCAAAGCCTCAGATGAAAGGAAATTTTATGTTTTGGCCATTGCCAGTTCAGAACAGTTCGAACCAGTTTGAACTGAGAACTGAACTGAACTGGGAAGTTCAGTTCTCAGTTCAGAAAATTGGCCAAAGAACTGAACTGAACTGAACTTCGGCAACCCTAAATGCAGCTGACCACCCAGTCCCACCCTTGCACAGAAACCGATGGTGCGGGTTCAAAACCTGTGCCACATCATGATGAACCATGCAGAGCACGTGAACAGATGTGTGCATCTGCTCGACAAGACCTATCATGCACCTGGGAGTGCTTTGTTTGTGCATACTTATGCTCTGAGGTATGTCCTTCATGTCCTTACTTGCTTCAGGTATGTTTATCGCACACAGTTTGCTTCATTTCTTGCTCTCCTGTGCTCAAAAATTTATAGAATAGTGTAAATATGTTAGATAGTTCATAGACATAACTAATTACAATGGTTTTGAAGTAAAAATTGACAAAATTGTGTATATCTACCAAAAGCCCTGGCTTAGGCCAAAGCCAGGCCAGGCCAAGCCTGATTCTTGGCTTTTGGCCCGGCCCATGATTATATGAAGCCCAAGCCCCCCTCAAGCCAGGCCAAAGCCAGGGCTTTCAGGCCAAGCCCGAGCCGGCACATCACTATTCATTTTTCTCAATCCTGATGTCACTTATGAGAAGTGTACCACCATCTTTTGAAAAGCTGTCTTTAACCCTTTTAGGTCACTTTTAGCCTTGCAAAACCACCAAACCCCTTTCACAAGCAATCGAGATCTTCTTTTTGAAAGTGTCCAGTGGTTTCACACTTTCGCCCTTTTCAGCACTTGTGAAAGTGTTGCAAGTGCCAAAAGCATGGGTTGTATTTCTTCTGATGTGCTGCAGTGCATGATACAGTACAGTGAGTTAAAAACTTAAAATATCTGGTCCTTACTTGATGCACCTCTAAAGCAATGCAGTATACTACATTGCAACAAAGTTGAGCTTTGTTGGATGTGATTTGAAGCCTGAGATTCCTTATGAATGATGTTGACCCATCATGGTTGCTTGCCGTGGCCATTCGGAATGAACCTCACAGCCACTGGTTGATGGTCAATGGCTTCACAGCTGCACTTGGCATTGAAACATGATTTTTGTGGTGATTATTATGGCAGGTTCTTCATTGGATCATCGATCAAAGCTCCCTCTTCTTATTCCTTAGATTCTTTCGAAGTACTGTACTATTTCATTCAATTCGGCAGTCACGTGTCACAGTCATTTTTTTTGACCCCGGATTTAATTCTTTCTCGATTTTTCCGATTTTTTGGAATTTCTGAAAAGTGCAAAAAAGTCACGTGGGTGCCGAATTGAATGAAATAGTACAGTAACTGCACAAATGCTCAGTAAACATTTCCTTCGATGAATATGAGGTTCTATATTCAGACCTGCTCAACGGGGCTCTTGGCACAGGGGTAGCGCGCCTGCTTTGCATTGCGATAGCATGCTTGCATGAGGTCGTGGGTTCAAATCCCACAGTGTCCATTTTTGATCCTGCCGTCTGAAAGAAGTACGAGTGCAGAAAAAGGAGCCCAAGTGACTCTTTTAGAAAACTCAAGAATTTTCTTTTGGTTTACGAAAAGAGATAGGAGGTCGAGGCATGAATTTCGCCAGAAGACGCTTTGAACTCCATACTTACACACATATTACCAGAGCAGAAAATGTTGATGCATAGACAAGAAGGATGTGGAAAATATCATGGGTTGAGTCCGTTAGATACTAGGGCCTTATGCGTAGGTGGTTGAATGATAGTCATTGCCTCAGAGCTTCAATTCGTACAGCTTGCGTACAGCAAGAAGTTCGTCTGAGAGGACTGGATTCCGAGTCTGAGAGGAGGCTGTGTGATGGGTACGTTGGTCGCTTACTAATACAATCCTTTACCACTGTCGGCGTTGACTAGGCATCGACATATTAGCTTCATTTTAGCTTCATTGCGACCGTCTGCTTCGAATGCCCACAAACATCGGAATCTTATTTTCTCTCAGCCAGGTTGTGAACGTCAACTTTTCCTCCCGTTGTATCGAAATGCTGATCCTTTGTACTCCGTGTTTAATTGTAGCCTTCAACGCCCGCACTGCTTTCTTGATCGTCGTGTTGCCTTCATTCATCGAGCTTATGAAGAAAGCAGGCCCTCGCTGTTCCTTGCCATCATCGCCGACTTCAATTGCCTCTCTTCAAAGCCGTCCCGGTCAGCTGATTGTTTACTCAGAGTGATTGAAATCTTACTAATCCTTTGCATCATGTAGATGCTCACCGTATGAGACCAATAGTCTCATGAATGAGGTACCAATCCATATGAACAATCTGTTAAAGGGGGTGCGCCTCACAGCATTGCTGCATACTTCATACTTTGATATCGGCCTATCATCATCTTACACACGGCAATGACTGCACTGAACGGATGGCATCCTGGCGAACGTCTTGTCCGCAAGAAAATGGGCCTGGATAAGATCCCAGGCATTTCCGACCTCTGGAGCTACATTGCAGGGGAAATACCTGAGCAGCACTCGGATTTTTACAGTACACGTCTCCCGTTCGTTCCAGTTTGCATTCTTGACGAAGAGGGCCGTCCATGGGGCTCAGTTCTTGCAGGAAAAGGCGGAGAGATTGGGTTCGTTAAGCATCCTCGATACAACACTTTAGCTATTCAACCTCGACTCTGGGATGGCGATCCCTTCCAGAAATATCTTAAAGCGATAAAACAAAATAAAAGTCGCCCATTGATCGCAGGTATAGGGGTCGAACTTTCCACCCGGAGGAGGAATAAATTTGCGGGACACATTACGAAGACGGTCGCCGAAGGCGACACTGCCTACCTAGAATTAGTAGTCAATGAAGCAATAGGGTTCGTCCTTGATCTTTGTCGCTTTATTTTATCTAACACTGATTCACAGCAACTGTCCCAAATACATCACTCTTCGCGAATTGGAGCCTCATCCCTCGGCATCTAGTGTCGTCCTAGAGGACCGACCCCATTTATCAGCTGATGAAAGATTATCGGATGAGGCCATCGCATTTATTCTTGCCGCAGATACGGTCTTCTTCGGAACCACGTATGCTGCTTCGCAGGATCAGTCTTCGGTATACCCATCTCATGTGGGCATGAACCATCGTGGAGGAAGGGTAGGTTTTACACGGGTGAAGCCATCGGATGGCCGGACTGTCATCCTACCTGACTTCTCTGGTAAGTCGACATGCCTTCGAGTTGACTGTTCGATACTGATTAGCTTTCGACATTAGGCAACCGCTTTATGACTTCCCTAGGAAATGTAGAGGCGACTCCCCTGGCGTCTCTCACGTATATTTCCTTCACAACTGGAGATATATTATACCTTAGTGGTGAAGCAAAGAATTTATATGGTTCGGATGCCCGCGCGGTCATGCCCCTCCAAGACATGCTCACCGAAATCTATGTCACTGGTTACACTTTCGTACGCGATGCATTCCCAGCACGTGTGCCACCTGGGTATAAGATCCAACCCAGCCCATACAGTCCGCCTGTCAAGATTTTGGCGGAAGAAGAGTCGCAGAATTCACACCTTTTCAGAGACAACGAACAGCCCAAAGCACTATTGGCTAGCATTACTATCCACGCTCCCACCATCGCCACTTTTGAATGGGAGTCCTCTGTACCGCTCCATATCAATCCTGGGCAAGCCATTATCATGTCCTTCAGCTCTCTGCTTGGTTCTCGTCAGTATCAACATATGGCCCCACGCAAGCCTAGCTCCGTTAACGATGACTTCATTCGAACCTGGACAGTCTCCAGAGCTGACGACCTTGGTAATGATTCTCGTCGCTATGCTCTTACTATGCGCGAAAAGCCGGGCGGAGTGGTTACCGGTGCACTGTTCAGCATAGCGCGGAAGCTGTCCCAATTTAAGAAAGAGGCATTGGCCGATTCTCGAGACCTATCTTTATCTGTAGACATTGTTGGCGTCAGTGGCGATTTCGTCCTTCCGGATCTCAAGGAAAGAAGTGCAGGCGTGGATAACGGTCCTCCGTCGGATGGGCCTCAGAGCCCTCGCCACCTCGTTTGGATTGCGGGTGGGATTGGTGTCACTCCATTCCTTGCCATGCTTGCAGCACTTTCTAAAGCTTCGCAACCGCCACCTTTCGAGATCGTCCTTGTCATTTCGACTCGAGAACCCGACGTCCTATTGTCTCTAGTTTTAGAGTCCCTTGGAAATCCAGAATCGGCAACTATTCCTTCGTACCTGAAAATTCATATTTTTACGACCACTTCTATTTCGGACAATCATTCCACACTCGGCTTTACCCGCCATGATGGACGAATCGATTTACGCTTCTTCGAGGAAAACAAGGAGTCGTTTGGGCTGGGACGAGAAGATACCGAAATTTTTCTCTGTGGGCCTGATTCTTTTGAAAGTTCTGTGCGAGCATCACTGGGGAAGGTGGGTTTCGACACAGGGAAGGTTCACCGGGAAGGTTTTGCATATTAGAACGAACTGGTAAAAGAAAAATTGTGATTCCTTGGAAATTGTCATTAACGCTTGTATTATATTAGGCTGTAACCCTTATACTACCTAGTCTTGCAATGTATTATCTCTTCGTCGCAAGCCTAAGAAGGTCGATGAGTAAAATTCGACGAAAGCGGTTCTTTATGCCAAGACTAAGGAAACTCTGCTTGCTAGCCTATACGGCATGTACAGCCGCTTCAGTTTTTCACTAAAGCCTGTGAATTAATCGTTGCTAAAGCCTATTGCTGAGTCAATTGTGCTGCGCCGCCAGAGCATGTCTGGGTTCGTATTTTTACTGCTTATTGATTCAAGAATAAAATGACTGAGAAATATACATTTTTGGCAGGCTTTTCAGGCGCATCTGAAATAACGGATAAGAATAACTTGCGATGCGTCAGGCTGTCGCCTTTTTCAAAATCAAAAGAACCATTTCTGGGAGAAACGCAACCTCTCCGCACAAGAATCCGCACACTCTCCTTCTTGGTGGTTCGCAGTGTGAAGTTTACACAGGTGCGAATAATAATTGGATCGCTAATAGGCCTCGTGCTCAACCTCGTCAGCAATTCATGTTAGGCATGCAGTGGTAAACCATTTTAAAGACGAAATGATATTGAACACCCACGATTGCCAGACGTATAAATTGGAGGTCTTCAAACAATCTTTGCCTTTGGTTTGTTTTGCCAGTGTCGTTGGAACAATGCGCCGAACTACTATTCTTCTCTCGAAAATCTTGACTTTGACTGGAGTTGCCTTCGCGGCGACCCCAAAATGGGAGTTTGTCCAAAATGGAACAAGTGGCGTCCTGGCTCTAGAAGCGATTGTTGTGTCGCCGACGTTGGCTATTTTCATGGACAGAGCACCAATGATCCGTTGACGATTGCCGGTGCTCCTGCTTGGGCCTCCTCTGGAATTTTAAAACCAACACGGCCACTCCGTTGAGGCTCATAACCGACAGTTTCTGTGCTTCTGGAGGATTTTTAAGCAATGGAACCATGGTGAGGTTTTATTTTCGAAGACATGGTGACACTCAAACTGACAACCCTCTTGTTGATATACGATAGGTCAGCGTTGGCGGAAACATTCCTGCCATCACTGCAGCTCAAGATGGTCGTATGGGCCTCCGGCTTTTCGAGCCGTGCGACGACCCTGATGGTGTCGGGTGTACGTTCATTGACGACCCTGCCACCCTTCATCTTGTCGAGAACCGATGGTACCCTTCTGCGGTCAGGATTTTCGATGGATCTATAGTATGTTGTGAGGTTTCTTTTTTACATACCCTGTTGACGCGCTGTAGATGGTTGTCGGAGGCATGCATGAAGAGACTCCCTTCTACAATACTGACCCAGCCAATACCATCGAATTTTTCCCGTCGAAAGATAACGATGTTCCACGTCAGTCTCCCTTCCTAGCCAGGACCGTTCCTGCAAACCTCTTCCCAAGGTGAGGTTTTTTTATCTTACATCATTCCAGTTTATCGACTGGCCTCGTCAGGCTGCTTTCTTTGCCTGATGGGAGAGTCCTAATGATCGCAAACAACCAAACTATCATCTACGACATTGAGAAAAACACGAGGAAGTATTGCCCGAGATTCCAAATGGTGTCCGCGTAACAAACCCAATGGATGGTACTGCCACCCTACTGCCCTTGTCCCCACCAAATTTCATCCCAGAAGTCCTCGTCTGTGGCGGTAGCAACTCAAGCGACCAGATTCCGTCTGAACAGCTGTCTTCTCAAGATCCTGCCAGTGACCAATGCAGCCGAATGACGATTACGCCAGCGGGTATTAAGAAAGGGTGGCAAATTGAACATATGCTCGAACCTCGAATTATGCCCGAATTTATCCTTATTCCGAATGGCCAAGTTTTGATTACAAACGGCGGTGGGACTGGATACGCAGCTATTTCTTCTGTTGGCAATACCATCGGGAATTCCAATGCTGACCACCCAGTGTAAATTCTAACGCATATGTCTACTGGAGTCCTAAAGCTGACTTCTCTTTCAGGT